CGCTGAATATTGAAATAATAAAAAAAAAATGATTGAGATTTTGACAAAGGTTTTTTTGATGAGCAAGTTTATCAGTGACTACGTGATAAACAATTTAGTCAATAGCGAGCGAAAGTCTGTCAATGACAATGACAAATCTCACCACTGCTTACCAAACAATTTACTAATTCAAAAATGGTACAGGCATCGAGTAGTTAACGGTTTGCTGCCTCGATATTTGTGTGATCGAATTGAAAGAGGAAGTGATTTTCATAGATATTATACTAGAAACGCGGCTGAAATAAGAACACCACATTTCTTGACTTGTGCTTCACAAAATTCATTATATTATAAAGGAATAAATGTTTTCAATTCGATGCCTAGACATATCAAACGTTTAGCAACACTTACAGAATTTAAAAGACACTGCATTTCACACGTTAAAACTGTCTTTTGAACACTTATCCAGTGATTTTTTTTAATGAATTGACAAATTGTATATCTTGACAAAGTTATCTCTAACGGATTATTTTATATGGATAGCTGTCATAACGACATTTTTAATAATTATTGTAGCACTGCAAAAACTTTTTCTGTTCGCCTCGATGGTGATGATGGATTTTTAATATTTGATTTAATAGTAGATTAATTAAAAAAAAAAAAGTAGTCTACAAAGGTTTGAGCCTCGCGCGCTTATTACGGAGGACTGAATTTAACATTTGATAAAAAAAAAATACAATTTTGAAGCTTATTTGGAAGATACCTTGAGTTAGTAGTAAGTTTTCTGGCAAATATTGGGGGTTCGTGAGCATTCCTGACATTGCTGAAAATTATTATAGCATCAGATTGCGGGGTTACTAGTGTAATAGGATGCTTTGTTGATTGTTCATTAACTCTTGATTGCATGTAATACTTATGAATATTTTAGGTGGACAAAAAGGCGAGCTAAGAGGTGGACGCCTGAGCTTTTCCACATTTATATCGCTGTGAAGCAACTGTAAACTCTAAAGGGAATTTATATCTGTGACTGAAACCAGTTCGATTTTGTTTGTTAACCTGGTTAAAATGTCATATTTAATTATCTTAAAGACAAATCGTCCAGCTCAAACCATCATCAACATTTTTCTATCGAAAGCTCTTAACTCTCTTCGGTCCCAAGCTAATCGATTCACCCCTTGAAACATAGGAAAATCTATGAACCCCTCATTTTATCTGTCAAACTTTCATAGCGAATCAAAACAAACGTAGTGTAGTACTAGAATTTCGACTAGAATGGGTACGCTTATAGGTGTACTTGGGACCAATAGTCACCCACTTTCTTAATCTCTATCTAACCTGTACTCTGTTGTCCTTCACTTCTTCTTCGGGGCCCCCCTCAGTTCCAACACCACGTTTCCTCGACGACTGCTTCGCTTCATGTTCCACTTTCTTCACTTTTCTCCTTCTGCGGCGTTGGATACCTCCTTTGCGCGCGACTGAACTCATCTCGAAACTTCTGATGCTGGCTGGGCCACCGAGTATGTCAACGGACTCGGCTTGGGTGGTTCGTGTCGTACCTGGTATACTTCAGCGGTTTCATATTAAAAATTTCAGTGGGGTCAGGCTGTTCGTTCCTTCCACTCACTCTCCTTCACTTTTCTGTCACTATCCCTATCGATCTGCTTTCTTTTCTTTTGATGTGTTTTCCATCGATCTTGTTTTCCGTGCTGAGCAAAAATGCTACCACGCCAGAGAGGCAGCTCCCACATCTGGACCCTACCTATCGACCCATCAACGCATGAACCGGGGACCAACGGCTTTACTTCCCTTCCGAAAAAAGGCGTGATCAGAGATGTTATGCCTCAGAACATCCCGGCGGCGCCGACTGGGATTGAACCCAGACCTGCTGTGATGAGAGGTAATCACGCTTACCACTACACCACCGGCGCTGCTATATCGATCTGCTGTCTGCACAGTAATTCTTTCTAATTTCTAGGCTTTGTCTTGTATGATTATTTCACCAGAGACTTGAAACTATCGACCGTTTAAATCGAGGGTTGATTGATAATTGCTCCGAAGGTGTATGTAGTCTAGAAAGACATTCTTTGGGTCACTGTCCTTTGACTATTGGTCAGTGACCCAGGCCATTCGTTTTCCATCGCCAGTCATCGTGCCCATTATGCCGTTCACAATGGCCTTTTTGTCGTCACCTCTCATGGCCGCCTAACCTGCTGCTTTTACTCCATCTGGTGGTGGGTTTTGTAGACTACGGTGGGTGGATGGCTGCGTAATATGGTAGGCTACTCTACTCTGGTCTACCAGGGAGATTTGCTGACGGAGAAAACTGCACACATATGGTAGTTTTCGGATATGTGTGATTTTTCAACATATTAATATAAGTTAAAAATTACTCGACACTGAGGCGCAAACACTCAAAAAGAAGAAGAAGAAGATGTTGAAAATCTGACAATCAAACATAAGTTCGAGAATGAGCAAACGCATTTTAAACTGCGCATTAAATACTAAAGATGAATAACAATATTCGACAATGTATTAGTATAAGTATTAAAGACGAACAGGATGAGATTTAATTTTATATCGATTTGTAAAATCAATTCGCAGGTAGATTGATATCAACAGTATTAAATTAACGTTGTAAAATAACTGTAAAAATCAGAATTGTCTTTGTGTTGTTGATGAACAAATCAGTAAGCATCCTGCTTAATATACCCATAAATAATATTTTATTGAAATTTGCTGCATTCATTCTTAACTATTCATTTATTAGATAACAAGTTTACAACAAGTATATTGACTCTCTACTTCTTCATATTCGCATTTCAAGCTTATTGCATATCGCATATTAGCTTATTGCGTGCTCTCAACTTAGAGTTCTAGATGCACTTTCACAGTTACTAATTGAGATCCTTCGATGCCTGTACCATTTATGCATTACTAAAATTGTGTGGCAAGTGCAATCATACTCTATGCCCAGGGAAGTCGTGAAACTTTCCAACCCGAAAAATTCCTAGACCGGACCGGGAATCGAACCCAGCCACCTTCAGCATGGTCTTGCTTTGAAGCTGCGCCTTTACCGATTGCGCTGAGGGAGGCCCCAAGTTTATTTTGACTTAAAAGAAAATAAATGTTTGGTAAAGTAGCGTTCAGTGATAAATGTACGTGCTCTTTTCATCAAGTACCAATTATTTTTAAGACATATCAAACTAATATCAAACTATTAATTCAACCTAAATTAAAAAATAATAATATCAAAATATGTTATGAACATGATTTCTAAAACATAATTTGATACCATTTCGATAAAATTTTTGATATTAGACTTTGCTAGGGATGGTCAATTGATAAACAATATTTCCCAATTCCATGAAATTCCCGGGAATAGTCATCAGCCGTTTCCCGATTCCTGTTTGGTGACAAATGACAAGGCAATGTCAACACTAACTGAACTAAAATGCTACGAATAAATGAGCGCTGATTTTAACTAAATTGAGTGATTTTTTTTCCTCGTCACACCGTAGCATATAAATCATCAATTCAAATCAACAACACCTCAATTTTCCACGCTCTAAACGAACGAAAACTCTAATCCGTGAAATGTATTCGCAAGATGGCTTCCAAACCAATTTGTCATCGTCATATAAAACTTCAACCGGCGAACCGGTTCCATCCAAAGCCCTCTATCCGTATACTTTTTATATTCTAAACAAACAACGTCTCATTTCGCATATCAAGTACATACACTCGCGCTGAATGTACGCAATCACAACCGACAACCGTCACACCATCGATGATAGAGAGTGAGTGTGTCAAAAGCTACGATTGCGGATTAAACTATCGAAAAAGAAGTACCCTCTCAAAAAAAAAAAGTTTAAAAAATGCATGTTTGTACGGATCCATTTCCCCCTTTTCCCTTGCCTGCCATCGCATACGAAACCGATTAGAGGCAGATGCAGTTTTTACTTTCCATTCATCTCTTTCTCTCTCTGACAAAATCATCCATTTTCCAGCAATTTATTACCATCACACCTCTGCTGCGGCGGAATTGAGCGTAACAAAAATGGTTCCTCTACCTCACACAAAAGCAGTTAAAAGCGAATCGCTGCAGCTGCCTTTGCCTTTCTGATGTGTTGTACACGCCATTGTGCCTGCCCCGGAGGCTCAATTTCCAGGTTATGTAATTGATTGAATCGGAAACGTGAGGAAGTCATAAATCTTGTTCATCTTGCGCTCTTCCGTCGTTTTTGGTTAATTTTCGTGTAATTGCACACACAAACACATTTGGTCATTCGTCTCACCGCCTACTTCGGTGTTGTGAGTGACCACCTTTTCAGAACGGGAAATAATACAGTGGAAAACAAAGCAGGCGGCCAGCTGACAACAGTTACAAAACGTGCGCCTCAATAGCTGCAACGCTCTATGATTTGTAGATAATTTGAATACAATTTAGTTCCCTTCGGCTTCGCGTTCGGTATACAATTGTTTGTCACACTTCGTACTCTAATCCCCTTGTAGATGCGGGAAAATAAACACCGCCAAATTCGGAGACAGACCTCGACACTCCATTGAGAGGCGAACGAGCGTGATGGGATCGTCAATAGGTAGGCGATTGGCAGGATCCGATTTGCAACTGGATTTATGCTCTCGGTAATAGATCTTCCCCCTCCCCCTGCCTGTTTGGATGCAGACGAAATGATTTCCGTTTTCTGTGTGACATCCGCTGAACGAGGGGTGATAATCAGATTTTCCCAGATCGGTTTTTCCTATCACGGAGCTCGTATAAGGATTTTCACACACTCTCCTCAGCCTATTAAAATTAACCCTTATCTCCGTGGTCGAAGTAGGATAGGACGGATTGATAGATGGTTGTTCCGAACCAAATGAATACTAATTAGGTCGTCCACTTCGAATGATTGGCGGTACGTAACTCTTCGATCAGGGGTGCTTGGGTGTCCATTTCTGGTTCGCCGGGTCTATCTTGAGTGAGCAAACGGTTTTTTTTTTATATTGATAATGATACTCACCATTAAGGGTGTTGCACGTTTCGTACAGCCAGGGGCGGGCAGCGGCCGGGAAGAGCGGGTGATGGGGATGGTGGGGATGATAGGCAGGTAGCGTGGTGAATCGGGCATGCAAGTCTTCCGCGAGGGTTGACCGCAAGCTTGCTTTGCTCTCCAGTAGCTCCGGCGATGATAGCGGCTCGCTACCGTTGTTCGCAGATCGTATCTGTCGACGACCGGCTGTCAGTTGACTGTGACTGCTGCTGTCATCGTCGCTGTGGCCGGGCGTCACATTGCCATGGTTACTGTCGGTGTCGTTCGCCAGGTTGCTGTGATTGTGACGATGAATTTCATCGCTGGTACTATCCTCATGATCCGCAGCGGAGAGCTTTGGCTGTTTGTCCTTGTGGCCAAGAATGTCACTGATGTGGAAACCGGACCCGGTGTGGGTAGTTCGCTGGGACTGCGGCAGCTTCATGTTGTCCAAGAATCTGTTGAGACGAAAAAAAAATGCGTAGGTGAGATGAACGGATTGTAGTAAATTCCTACATAATCAAACTTTTTGGTCGCTGCATTTGACAGCGACGGGGATTGCACCTTTCCAATCTAGCATTGGTCCAGCATAGGGGGAAGCTGGATTAGATTAACGTCAATCAATTTAGGTTCGAGATTAAATAATGTGCGGTTCACGGGCCCGGAATGGGGGAGACAAAAGTTTTTCCTCTGCTCCCATTTTCATCGGATTACAACGTGATTTAGGTTGTACAGTTTTTACCTTGTTTCCCCCTGATATTTATTTGTTTCTCTGTTTCAAATCGAGGCTTAATTCTATCCTTGGAATATAGTTTCGTTTTCCTCGCTCTTCTGCCTTGGATGAAAAGTTTTATTATTTATTTCTCGTCGGTCGTCGTTCGTTACCACACCTCCCTGTAATCCGCTTCTTGCACGGAACCGTCAGTCGTCGTCGCTTTGTTCGGCTGTCATCGGGCGGCGATGGCGTGATTCGGAAGGTGGGTGGGATTAGGGATCCATTGAGGATAATGGTGTGAACTCATAAACAGAAGCTGATCGACAACAGAGAGAAAGAGAGAAAGGAGGGATAAAGAGGTAGAAGATTCCTTCAATAAAAGAGTTGACAGGATGCCTAAGCTTGTGACATAATGTTTTAATTACTTTTTGATCAAATTGTCGCTTTTTTTGGAAGTAGGGGAATTTACGTATTCTCGGCAACCTAAGCAGCGACGTTCTTTCTATAGCCTTTTTCTCTAAGGAACGCACACATATGCAGTATTGGTTTGTTTACAATCTTTTGCTGCCAGCTGCTCTAACAATTTCAGTCGAATGAATTGTCAAAAACTGTTTTGAAACGCTTTTACAAAGCTCCAATCTTCTCTAATGAGAGCGAGTATTGTCGGCAACCAGTTTTTCTTCGGCAACCGTTCCATTTGAACTGCATGTAAATCTGCTGTTCTATTATCGGCAACTCGAAATCTGCTACAATTTGTAGTGCGTGTGTTGCATTTCAAGAAAACCTTGCTAGATTGCATTTTCTCAGTGGTAAAAATATAGTCAAATTGAAGCTGGAAGCATAAAGAATCGTTTGCATGCATTCAGCGAAGTGTTTTCGTAAGAAAATTCAGTGAAATAGTGTTTCAATTTGGGTTGCCGAAAATACCCTAGTAGCACACTTGTCACAAATCAATTGTAGAAACTTATATACGACTTATTTCAGTCATAAACAAGTTGCTATAACTTATTGTGATGAAAACGTGCTACTCGGGTAGTCTGTCATGCCGAAGCCGTCATTTCCCCTAAATAAGTTTCAAAACTGTCTTTTTCGTTATAGAAGAAAAGATAAGATTCAACTCAAGGAAGGGCAGCCAACATTTACGAACGAAAATACCCCTTTTTTTCCTTGATTTGTTTTCCGTGCTGAGCACCAATGCTACCGACGCCAGGGAGGCAGCTCCTACACCTGGACCCTACCTATCGACCCATCAAACTCATGAACCGGGGACCAACGGCTTTACTTCCCTACCGAAAGAAGGCGTGAACATCCTGGCGGCGCCAACTGGAATTGAACCCAGGCGGCCACTACACCACCGGCGCCGCTGAAAATAGCCCTAACTGGAAATAAAACTTAAGTAAGTAACTTAAGCGGCCAAATTGAGTTATTAGAGTGGGGGGGGGGGGGGGCAATCAACTCTGCACATTATGCCGAAACATAGCATGACACACTGTTCGGCACTTTAAGGCACACTTTGATAAGTAGGACACAAACACTATAATATAAAACGGCATCACTGTTGAGTGTTGACGTTTTGCCAATCGTTGCTAAGGTTTACTACTCGGTTCAATACCTTTGTTTACTAACAAATGAATCTAGTGAGAGAGTGTCATACATAAAACCTAGGATCATAAAACTGGTGATACAAAGATTCAATCAATAATTAAAAAACAACAAACGTGTACCCACCGGTGCTGAGGATCTTTCGAAAAATTCTGTAATTGTGAACCTCTTCAAACCTAGCAAAAGGAAGTCCGTCTCTTCCGAATCACAGCACAAATCTCAGCGGATCGTGTTTTATCTAGAACAGCTTCTATTTAGTCGAGTTCATCTACACCATGGCCCTAGCCATGGCCGGTTCTTGTCAGTACCGCAGTCAAGACGGCTGAAATGGGTTACCTCTTGAGACGATTCGTTTTCGACGATGGAATAATTGTGAAAAATGCCTGACGGTTGTCTTTGGTGATAACTTTGGAAGGTTACACCAACACCTACGCTATGCTGTTATTCGTACGAAAATAAGAGTACCTTGATGAATGCTCACATTCAGTATTGGAAAAGTTCACCAAAACTTAATACGACGCGCGATTTCCTTGATGAGCTTCGTGAAATATCGCGAACATTTCTCGACCATATGCTTTACCCAAGGGGTTGGTCACTCCGCACAGTGTGCCAAAAACAAGCTTCTGCACACCTGGACACCTTCATTGGCACTGTTTGCCTGCATAGTGTGCATGTGTCAAAATTTGTTGTTGATGTTGATGATTACAATCCAATTTTTTTATACCGTGAATCTCCACAACTCGCCATGAATTCTCCTAAATCTAATTGTCAGTACACATCCTGATACCTGTCCGAAGAAGTATGTATATCATTTCGCGCCGGACTGCGTACAATCATTCCGACCACCCAGCATGAAAAAATCAGGGCAATCGCTTGCATAGCAACACTGCGCAATAAATCCCAGCATTACCGAAAAAAATGCCTATCCAATATAGTTCAACCATAGAGGTAACTCTAAGACTAGAAGGTCCCGAAGAAACGTGCTCAACTTTTTGGTTCAGCTCTGGTACTCTCTTCGGTCCCAAGCTAATCGATTTACCCCTCGAAACATAGGAAAAACCAATAACCCCTCATTTTATCTGTCAAACTTTCATAGCGAATCAAAACAAACATTGTGTAGTACTAGAATTTTTGACTAGAATGGGGTACGTTAATCGATGTGCTTGGGACCAATAGGCTAGTCAAGTAGTGAGCCAATTTAAAATCGTTAGTTTCGTATTGATTGTTGGTTTAACCCTTGACAAAGTTCTCATCACTTCCGGGTTCATGATATCCTCCAACTCTGTTATCAAAATCGTTACACAGACTCCCGTGCCGGCAGGCCCGTCCACACTTCATCCTTTTTGGACTCTATCCGGTCAGTAGATAAAAAGAATACAGAACAGCTGACAGCGGTGTTTGGGTTTTAGTCTGAAAGTCAATAACCAAATGAAAACTATGCCATCCGACCACACCTCTGACTGTAACTGCTCGAAGACATACCATCCACTACTACTACTGCTGCTACAACCATTTCATCGTCCAACATAGAATATTATTGTAGGATCGTCTTGGCAAAATCCACCTGCAAGCGAGCTTGCAAGGTCCGTATCTCATAACGGAAACAATAGCTTGTTACACTGTGAGTACTGAATGTCAACTTTGGATCAAATCATGCACACAAGTGTAAAAAAATCATAACTATCGGCAACACTGACAGCCTATAATGATTATCGCGAGGAAGTGAAGTTAGCCCGCACGAACGCAAGGAAGGTAAACGTCAAGCAACTCACTGGAATCTCGGCCACTCTCAATTCTCTCACCACCAATTCCACGAACTTCCGTTGTGGCAGAACAAAGAAAACCATTCTTCTGCTCGGACGCGTTGCCTAGTGGTCGCAGATAGTGGCGGTGTGTGGCAAAAAACCCCTCGCGGAAGGACCTCAATTTGCCTGCTGAATATCAGCAATCGAACGGATTACATCCATCCTCAGTTGGGAAAGTGTAAAGCTAACCGTCGCGCATCAATCTGGAACATTAGCTGAGACAGCCGTCCATGCAACCTGGCACAGCACACGTAACCGTCTCGAGATCAGTCTCTCGGCAGACCCACCATCCAACATCTTCCCAAGGCTGACACGCACACCGACTGTGGATACAGAGACAATCCAGCTACTAAAAGGTAATTCCCACCACAGACTTGCGGAATCTCTCCTACAATGGCATTTTGATCTTTCCTAGCATCGAAGCACCCATCAATCTGACCAGATCGCTCTGACCGAGGTGAAAGGTCGAGCTCAAAGAAGATCGAGGAGTAGATCTGACAGTCGGACCGCAGCAGAAACGAAAGGCTCTCGCAAGAGGTAAAGATTCATTCATCATAACAAATATTATTGGAATTCTAACAGTAAACGATTCCATAGGGCCTTCCATATTACCCCGGTCGAGCATCGGAGCCTGCCATCTTCTGGGCGGTAGCCACACGAACCGCATGAATCGCGCCTCCAATACATGCGCAGATGTGCTCAACGGCGAAGGTCAATTGATGACTGTTTTACGCTTGCGATAGGTAGTGGACCTAACAGCAGCAAGTGAAGTGTGCTCAGGGTCAGCGCTGGCCAGTACGGCGGAATCACAAGCATAACAGCAGACCCAGTACGGTCGCCAGTGAGCGAGTGCACGGCCAGAGTGGCCACGGAGGAGACAGCTAACCGGTAGCTTCAGCGAGGGAAAGTGTCCAGTGAAATCGCACAGTGCGCGTTGTTCAAGCCAGTACGACGAGTTTTGCATGTGCGTGGCAAGCAGCCCGTAACCAGCTGATGATGTGTGAGCTCGTCAGACCACAAGGATCAAGTTCTCGTATTTTGTGTGTGTGTGTGTGCATGAAATCCAATTGGAATAGCGCTTTCGAATAAATGCGCCCTCGAATCGTGGCGCGCCCAAATCTTGCGCAACGATCTTCTAGTCAACGCTTTTCTCCGGGGCCCCGTCGACATCTACAACACCTCAACTGCAGCAGATCGTGAATGGTAGGAGAAAAGTATCGAGGTAGGATAGATATAAGACCTTCTTTGTCCATGTTTGAAAATAGAAAATGGCAATTGTATTAAAATGTTTGTTTACTGTCAAATCATATGCTTATATAAGCTCTTGAAGCACGAA